TTTCCCCCGCCACTCTTTAATCCTTCCTAAACCCTAATTGATGGTATAGTGTGAATAACACTAAAGCTGAAAACTATTTGTCTCATGATTTGCATTTTAAATAATTATCTTAAATAAAATTCACAGGGTCATAGATAAAATAGACATGGTTGCCAGTCATAGAATACAAAAGAAATTTTACGGTTCTGAGAACCCTGTAAGACCAATATTGATTTGTCACAAAAAAAGTAACAATTTCTTAACATGCAAAAATATCTTCGTCGTCTGGACTTTTAGGTTTTGGTTCTCTAATTTATTTTTTTACCAGTTTTAGCTCTGTTATTTAGTTTTCACACTAGCAATTTGAGTTACCTTTTTTTCTTTGCTATTTTTGTTTTAACAATGCTTCATCATTCTGCCATTTTGATTTTTATTCTCCATTTTGAATTGACAATTTCCCGCCATTTTCAGTCTGAAATATTTCAGCTGTTCAGCACGAGAGAGCACCGCGTTCTTTATCCAAAAGAACCGGTTTTCTAAATGATGCATACTCCTCAACCCCTCTCCTCCCCCATCTTCTACCACCACTCCATGGCTACTATCCAACCCTCCAGATGAAAACTGCGTTTCCAACTCTATTCTCTCATCCACCTTCCATTCATCCTTCCCTTCACTCCTCCTCCTTCTCCTCCTCTTTCTCCTCATCCATGGCCTTTCAGGACTCCTTCAGATTGTCTGCCCCAAGGATCATCACATCGTTGGCCAACAGGTATCATTATCAACTCTGTAATCATTTCGCACCAAGTTGCAAAAAAAATACTTCTAAAAACTACCTCCTGAATATTATTTATTCTTTTTCTGCAGATCATATGGTGGACTTGACGCCATGGATAGGATGAGGATGAAAATGAATTTTGAGAATCAAGTTGAAGTCCAGGATCAGAACCAGGAACAGAGTGCCCAAGACTCCAACACCGCTGAAACGAAATGTAATATTTTAAAACGAGACAAAAATAAAATAAGTTTTTTCTTATCACTTTGTGTTTAGATGACGACTGTAAGGAAGAAAACTTGAAAATAAAGAACTATGATTTATCTCCTGTCCCCACCTCCCCTCACCATCCNATGATGATGATGATGATGATGATGATGATGATGATGATGATGATGATGATGATGATGATGATGATGATGATGATGATGATGATGATGATGATGATGATGATGATGATGATGATGATGATGATGATGATGATGATGATGATGATGATGATGATGATGATGATGATGATGATGATGATGATGATGATGATGATGATGATGATGATGATGATGATGATGATGATGATGATGATGATGATGATGATGATGATGATGATGATGATGATGATGATGATGATGATGATGATGATGATGATGATGATGATGATGATGATGATGATGATGATGATGATGATGATGATGATGATGATGATGATGATGATGATGATGATGATGATGATGATGATGATGATGATGATGATGATGATGATGATGATGATGATGATGATGATGATGATGATGATGATGATGATGATGATGATGATGATGATGATGATGATGATGATGATGATGATGATGATGATGATGATGATGATGATGATGATGATGATGATGATGATGATGATGATGATGATGATGATGATGATGATGATGATGATGATGATGATGATGATGATGATGATGATGATGATGATGATGATGATGATGATGATGATGATGATGATGATGATGATGATGATGATGATGATGATGATGATGATGATGATGATGATGATGATGATGATGATGATGATGATGATGATGATGATGATGATGATGATGATGATGATGATGATGATGATGATGATGATGATGATGATGATGATGATGATGATGATGATGATGATGATGATGATGATGATGATGATGATGATGATGATGATGATGATGATGATGATGATGATGATGATGATGATGATGATGATGATGATGATGATGATGATGATGATGATGATGATGATGATGATGATGATGATGATGATGATGAAGATGATGATGATGATGATGATGATGATGAAGATGAAGATGATGATGATGATGATGATGATGATGATGATGAGGATGATGATGATGATGATACTATACAGGATGAATTGCTCCGGGAGTGTGAAGATGACAGTCTAGTAAATCAACTAAGTGAATTGGTTGATATTCTAGTCAGACTTTCTCAACTCAGGTAGACAATATTAACTATCAACTATCAACTATCAAATATCATAATTATTTTTTTATCATAAAAAAAAGAATACGGACCTGTATTAGTTAATAATAATTTAATTATCAAAAATAGAACGAATATTTTTTTGTATAGATTTCCTATTACAGACACAGCCTAAAGTAAAATTATAACTGAGCAGTACAGTACACCCCCTCCTTTTATTTCACCTTGACAGTTCCTTTATATAATTTCTACTCTTTCAAATCAATATTGTTGTATTAGATCTTATAAGTAAACTTGTTACATGAGAAGTAAACTTGTTACATAAGAAGTACGTAAACTTGTTACATAAGAAGTAAACTTGTTACATGAGAAGTAAACTTGTTAAATTGGGAGTAAACTTGTTACATAAGGAATAACTGCGTTACATGGGGAGTAAACTTGTTACATAAGGAATAACTGTGTTACATGGGGAGTAAACTTGTTACATAAGGAATAAATGTGTTACATGGGGAGTAAACTTGTTACATAATGAATAACTGTGTTACATGGGGAGCACACTTGTTACATAAAGTATAACTGTTTTACATAGGGAGTAAACTTGTTACATAAGGAATAACTATGTAACATGAGGAGTAAACTTGTTACATAAGGAATAACTGTGTTACATAGGGAGTAAACTTGTTACATAAGGAATAACTGTGTTACATGGGGAGTAAACTTGTTACATATGGAATAACTGTGTTATATGAGGTCTAAACTTATTACATGTGGAGTAAACTTGTTTTAGGGGGAGTAAGCTTGCTACATGGGGAGTGCACAATTGTTACATTAGGAGTAACCTTGTTACATGCGGAGTAAAGTTCGGAAACATCGAAAAAAAATTATAAAATGTCGTCTTGACAATTTTTCAATGGTTTTCATACATTTCTACTATTATGCCTAAATCTCAGTAATTGTTAAAATAAATGAATAGCCATGATTTATGCGGGAACAGTTTTAAAGAGCTATAGTCAAGAAACTAAACATCGTTATTATCAGTAGGTATAGAAAACAACATTTAATAAATTCTTTCGATGTTCTGGGTTAAACTGGAGTTAACTTGTTTCTTCAATCCAATGTATGTATTCTAGATTGGATCCTACTGAGTAAACTTGTTTAGAAGCTCTTGTACTGTTTAACCCTATATATGTATTCTAGATTGGATCCTACTGAGTAAACTTGTTTAGAAGCTCTTGTACTGTTTAACCCTATATATGTATTCTAGATTAGATCCTACTGAGTACTCTTGTTTAAAAGCTCTTGTACTGTTTAAACCTATATATGTATTCTAGATTAGATCCTACTGAGTACACTTGTTTAAAAGCTCTTGTACTGTTTAACCCTATATATGTATTCTAGATTGGATTCTACTGAGTACACTTGTTTAAAAGCTCTTGTACTGTTTAACCCTATATATGTATTCTAGATTAGATCCTACTGAGTACACTTGTTTAAAAGCTCTTGTACTGTTTAAACCTGAACTAAATGGATTAAAACAACAGCTTCAGGTAAAACAATTATTTTGAATTTTCTATTCCTGAATTAGTTTCACGTCACTGTTACTTTTCTTGTATAATAAACGTTGATGAAAAGATTGCTGTCACTAAAAACATGAAATTATCTTCCCACAGAATATTTTTGAACCATTCTCAGAATTAAACAGTTCTGCCGGTGGTACTGTCAATTTCAAAAGAATTAAAATATAGTTAATATGTTCTTAAACAAAAAATTCATTCGCTAAACTATTTTGAAATTATAACTTGTTTTCATGATCAATCTTTAGATTTGAAACTTAAAGAGACTGTAAGCGTAATTTCAAGTGACCCTCCATGCAAAGATGGCAATGACTTACGCATTTCTTGCTTAAAGGAAACAATGGACAACTTCACAGAAATAAACACTTTTCGAGTTGGGCATTGCTATCTTAGCATTGAGGGTCACTTAAATTTGCCCGTACAGTCCCTTTAAACAGCATTTAATTTAGGTCGAAGTACTTCAGGATCAAACCCATTTAATGCTCCAGGTAATCTATCTATCTATCTATCTATCTATCTATCTATCTATCTATCTATCTATCTATCTATCTATCTTCTATCTATTAGGATTATTGCTCTGCTAAGCCACCTCCAGCGAATAAAGTCCGGTTTGGTCGTCTTCTGCTGACCCTGCCTTGTATAACCTTTTTCCAAAGCAGTGTACTGGAAACTCTATTCTTCAGGAACAGATTCAAACTTGTTCAACCTAAAACAAATTTTTTGAAAAAGAATATTGTTATATCAAAAAGTAGTTTAGAACATAAGACAGCATAGAGTACAATATTATGAATGGCTCCTTACAAGTTTAAATTTTTGACAATTTGTTTTGGGTAACAGAATTAGATTAAAATTGAACAGTGGGTCACATAAAACTTTGAAATAAGAAGACGACCTATAAGAAATATTATGTGTGCAAAGCAAATGGTTTTATTAGAGTATTTAAAATAAACTTCTTAAGTCAAATGGTTCTGTGTACTCTGCGTAATTGCAATGTACAAGGTAACCCATGCGAAACAAAAAAAATAAGAGATCCCTCTAAGATCGCCTTTTTTAGTCTTTAAAATAGTTCAAGTCTTGATTTTGCAAATACAATTTTTGAAAATACTTTTTGCCCTGGCATTTGTGTAATGTGGGCCGTCATATACCTTCAGAACTACCGGAGATTTAAGTCGGTAAAAAAATAATTGCGAGGATGCCTAGATGTCGTCTTTTCAAGATTCAGAGGTTTTTCGTTCACAAAAACCCTGAGGAAGAAGCCCAAAGGAGTTACGCGCATGCGGCGTAAAACAGACTTTCTCTCTTGAGAATGCGTGTACCTACTTTTGGCTTCTGCCTCTGGGTTATTCTGTACGAAAAACCATTAAATAACTCCAAAATCTTGAAAAAACGACATCTGGTGTTTGTTGGTTATTGTTAATTAGTCATGTTATTCTGTAACTTGCATAATATTTTGTGAGAGAAAATTGAAGAAAAAAACAATAGTTTGGTCTGCTTGGTTTCAGGCGAACCCTGGGTAATATCAACGTCGAGAAGGTTATTGTTGATCTGTCCCAGGTATTTTTATAAAAACTTTTCTAGAATAGTATGTTCGATTCACAACGGTGCTTTGTAAATTATTTGACAGAATACACTGCGGACTAAGATGTGCTCGCTCTCACGCAAAATTCAAGCAGTATTTTTCCAATTACTCCTTTGAAAATTGTATATATCTAGGACTACAAAAAATTATAAGTGAGTTTGTGAGGTAAAACTTTAAAATGGCGTTGCAACACTTTAAAGTCCAGGCTTTGTAAAAATTTGATGACTAACATTCAGAGTTGTCTAGATCTCCGTGAATATATAAAATGAAAATATTATGAGCAAACTTTAAAGGGACCGTTCACTTATTTGGGTAATTCCGGGGTAAACTAAACAGCCTATTCGCTGTTGATTAGTATTCGTCTTACTTTTCAAAGAAAACTGTGGCCGGAGAAAAAACCGATTTTTCGTTCAGAATTCGAGCTCAAAGGTATGGTACCTTTGTCATGTTGATGTTTTTGTCAATATGTTGTGAATTAAGCGAAATAAGTGAACGGTCCCTTAAACCTTTATCTAGGATTTCCTCTGGATCAATGATAAATATTAAAAACCTTGGAAAATATTCTGTCATTAATTCTTCACAACTTTAGCAAAGGTCTTTACAGAACCAAATAATACGGAAGAAGTTGGAAATCCTTCTGTTAGCAAAAGTGAATTTATGCTGCAAAGACAATGAAGGATTTAGCAGAATTCACAATATCTTAATGTACAAACGACAATTGTTATTCATATCTAGATTTAACACGTAAAACCCCTTTTAATATAGAATGAATAATAATTTTTATATGCTGATATTTTTAATCTTATTAACGTACATTTCCCGATATAAATTTGTAAATTTTCTTTGAACGCACCCATACAATTAAGTTTATGGATCTAAAGTTATTTAAGCTAATCGAAAACTGAACTGTTAACATACGCTACCATTTCAACTTCATGGGTAAAATCGCACCTAAATTATAAACAAAATAGCTCGTTGTGATTTGGGTTGAATAATGTCAACTTATTTACAGTTTATTGATGATTAAGTTTAATTTTATATTTCAGGCCTAGAAGATCTTATATCCATGGTCAGAGGAAGTCTAACACAAGGTTATAATGCAAGGAAAGTTATTTAGAGGTGTAAGCATCTTTTGTACTGCAGTGTACATGAGATCCATCTTTCACATAAAAAATCAATGAAATATTCTGGTCATAGAAAACTATTATGTGAATTATCAAAATTATCAAAATTCAATGCTTTTAACCTCCTCGGATACTAAACACTAATGCATCTATTCTTGTTTATAAATTCCGCCCAGAGAGAACTGGTTTTAATATATACGCAGAGTATACGCAACTGCATTTAACTTTCCTTGAATTATAACCTTGATCCAACATAAGTCCATGGTTTCATATTTATTTTAAACTTACAATTTAATTCACTGTAATTTAAGGTCTTTTAATGTAATTCAATGCATTCTCTCCTTGAAAACCCTACTCCTAGAAAGAATGAAATATGGAAAGTTTTTTATTCATTTATTTGTTTAATATAGCTTTGTTTATATTATGTAAACATATTTGTATTCAACAATGCATACAGCTGAATTTCAAAAAATCTCGCCGCAAACTTTATTTTTGCAACTTGATTGAGCAAACCTTCAATATTTTAAACCAGTGTCTAAATTTAAAGAATTTAAGCCACGTCTCAAATCATCCCAAAAACGGTTTCAATTGAGCGCCGCCGGCTTAAATCTTAAAAAACTTTATACAAATTTAAGTGGAACCAACCATATTTTAGCAACGGCTTAAATTTAAACCGCCGCTCAAATTCTTTAAATTCGGCCACTGATTAATTTTAATAAGTCCGGTGAAACCATTTTTTCTTTATTAGTGACTTGTTCAGCATAATGACGGTATTTTCAAATAATTCTGTTTTGACAAAAAATAATAATAACCATCCTACAGTGAGTGCCATTAAACTATGGAATAGGAAGACGACCCTTAGACTCAAATTTGNCCCCTGTGATTTAAAACTTACGTGAAGTGCAAAAACAAGTCTATTTATTACAGCATTCAATGATAATGTAACAATTAATAATTAATGTATAATTTAGTAACATTTCATGTTTCTCGTGATTATATCAAATAAACAATTATTATAAATAATCAAGTATTTACATGTATATTGTATATAGATATATATATAAGAAAATAATAAATGATGTACAGTGAGAACCATGGAAGAGGAAACCGATATTTTTATATTGTTCTAAAGCAAATAGTTTCTTACAATATTAGGACATTTGCTGTATCTAGTGTTAAGTGAACTATTAATCTATTCATTTAAATTATAACTTGAGTCTAAAAGTCGTCTTCGTATTCTACACCTTTATAGGTCCATCCTATCTTCACTTTACACGGTATAACTTTGGGGAAATTAGCGATCTTGGAGTCTTAGAAAAAGTCACAGTAAAATATGATATTTTATATGATAACTATTTACAACACTATCATATTATATGATAACTATTTACACAACACTATCATATTATATGATAACTATTTACAACACTATCATATTATATGATAACTATTTACAACACTATCATATTATATGATAACTATTTACAACACTATCATATTATATGATAACTATTTAAAACAACTTCATTTTGGTTCGCAATGTATAAAGTCCAAAATTCTAAAAGACATCGTGCCAAAATATACAGCTACGTCAATAATCAAATTTACCATTAAGTTAGCATGATTGATAAAAGAATCTGTTTAAAGGGAGTGAGCTAAGAATGTAGTATTGTGGAGACATTTTTAAGGATTCATTTGAGACATATACAAGTTTTAATGATGCATAATTACTGAGTTTGAGCGCAAAGTCGACTTTCAAAATCATCCATTTGGTTGGTTACGTTATGAGAATCTATTATATTAAACTTAAATTGTTAAACAACGACGACAAAAATGTAACAGAAATTCGACAGTAAACTAATTAACATAATCAACATAGAAAATAAATAATCTTATTCAGTTATTAGTTTCTGTAATGTCTCATTGTTCAAAAACATTTTCTGGAAATTTTATTGAAAAGACGACATTTGAAGAATTTGTAGAAATCTGCGAACAAATTCGCGAAGAATAAGAAATTCAATATAATGATGAAAAAGAAAAAATTGATTCTAACATTGATTTATTGACAAACTTCTATTGAGGAATATGTTCCTAAACATCTAGTTAGTTTACTGTAGAATTTATGTTACATTTTTTGTCGTTGTAATCTAATAGTTTTTAAAAAATCGATTTTCAAAACATAAACCGATTTTCAAAACATAACCACCCAAATGGAGGATTTCGAAAGTCGACTTTGCGCTCAAACTCAGTAATTATATGCATTGTTAAAATGTTTTATTTGTGTCAAATGAATGCTAAAAAATGTCTCCACAATACTACATTCTAAGTTTAACTACCATACATTGCCGGTCACTCCCTTTAAACTTAACAATAATTTTCGATATTAACCCCGCTTTCCAAATAACAAAATGCAAAAAGACGTGCGAGATCCTTTTAAATTTAAAGTTTTACATTCGGGTTTAAACATCTTTTATCACTTTTATGTTAATTTTTATCTTTTAAAAAATACATTTTCTTTTGAGACAGAATGGAAAATTTGGAAATAAGTACGAAGAAATGTGGAATTGCATATTGTTAAAGCATATGGTTAAGACTCGTAATTGGACTTCAGGGGGGTTTTTACACCTTTAAACACCTGGGAGGAGCCGGGAGGGGAAATTTCAGAAAACTTTAGAAGAGGAAATCGATATTTTTATGTTGTTATAAAGCAAATAGTTTTTCACAATATTGGGACATTTGCTGTATCTAGTGTTAATTGGACTATTAATCATATTCATTTTCACAATCTTGGAGTCTTAGAAAAATTCACGCCCCAGTATTGAAATATAAAATATGACATTTTATTTGATAACTATTTACAACACTATTATTTTGGTACACAATGTATAAAGTCCAAAATTCTGAATTACATCGTGCCAAAATATACAGCTAATTCTATAATCAAATTTACCATTAAGTAAGGTATTCAATCGGAATTCCGTTGCACGAAATTGCTCGGGTTGCGCGCAATGGTTGCTTCCGCTTGCGCCATTACATTGAGCGCTATTGCGCTATAATTGCGAAAAAGGAAGTAATTAAATATTCGCAAAATTGCGCGAAATTGCGTGCAACGGAATTGCTTTTCCATTTAAAAATCAATAATTTTAATTTTTAACTTACAAGTTTATGCAACAGATACAAAAATGAAAATATCTCTGTAGATTTCAAATTTTTAAGTTTCTTGTACGCCAAAAAATGTAACAGAAATTTGACAGTAAACTTATTAGTTGTTTAGGAACAGGTTGAGAAATTAAAAATTAACTCTCATCATCGAAAATAAATAATCTTATTCAGTTATAAGTTTCTGTAATGTCTCATTGTTCACAAACATTTTCTGTAGATTTTCTGTAATTTTTATTGAAAAGACGACATTTGAAGAATTTGTAGAAATCTGCGAACAAATTCGTGAAGAATAAGAAATTCAATATAATGATGAAAAAGAAAAAATTGATTCTGACATTAATTTATTGACAAATTTCTATTGAGAAATATGTTCCTAAACATCTAGTTAGTTTACTGTAGAATTTATGTTACATTTTTTGTCGTTGTAATCTAATAGTTTTTTTTAAATCGATTTTCAAATCATGACCACCCAAATGGATGATTTCGAAAGTTGACTTTGCGCTCAAACTCAGTAATTATATGCATTATAAAAATGTTTTAAACGTGTCAAATAAATGCTAAAAATGTCTCCACAATACTACATTTTAAGTTTAACTACCGTACATTGCCGGTCACTCCCTTTAAACTTAACAATAATTTTCGATATTAACCCCGCTTTCCAAATAACAAAAGGCAAAAAACGTGAGAGAACCTTTTAAATTTTAAGTTTTACATTCGGGCTTAAACATCTTTTATCACTTTTATGTTAATTTTATCTTTTAAAAAATACATTTTCTTTATGAAAAAAGTACGGAGAAATGTGGAAGTTCATAATGTTAAAGCATATGGTTAAGACTCGTAATT